AAAAAAAATCTTGTGTTTGGATAATTAAAATCACCTTTTAACTAGGGCTGTGCATGGATCGGTTTTAACCACCAACCAACCCATTTTCGACCCATAATTTGTGATGGTTAATCAACCATCAATCGACCCATTTAAGTTGGGTGGATAATGTCAACCAACCCATGTATAGTTGGGTCGATAATGGTTTCTAATATGCTAAAAAGTTGGTTAGTCGGTTAATATCGGCCAACCAACTTTATTCATTAATTTATTATTTATTAATTTTAATTAAACTATTTAACATTTTTAATTTCAAATTTCTATTTTATATCACATTTATTAAATTGTTTAATATTGACCAAAATCCTAAAATCAATAAATCTAACCTAATTATCTAATTTGAACTATTTTAATTTTAAGACATACAGTCTAAATATTTGGACGATTATTATTTGTTGAACTATTTATGTTTAATTGCAATATATATGCCCGTAATGTTTTAAATCTTTTATTTGAATATTATTGAACTAGTGACATTTAATTTATAAAAGATAGAACGTTGTAACAAGTAATAAAATATTAAAAAAAATTAAAAAATATTTAGATGGATAACCCATCAACCAAACCACCAACCAACCCATTAAATTGGTTTTCAACCATCACCCAACCCATGTAAGTTGGGTCGATAACGGTTTCCAATATTTACCAAAGTTGGTTGGATGGGTTGGGTTGGTTTTATGACTGGTTTTTAACCAAACCAACCAACGCACAGCCCTACTTTTAACTATAAATCTTCTTACTCAATCACCCTTGTAATATCAAATTTAATGGAATCTTCTACATTATGTCAAACAGGGCCGGTTCTAGTGCATATGCAACTTAGGCCTATACCTAGGGCCCCCAAACTATTTGTAATATCCGTAGGGTCCCGTAAATTATGTGTATTATAAATTAGGGCCCCCAAATTTGAAATTAATTTTTTTATAATTTCATAAAACTAAACAAAAATATTTATATGAAAGCCAAATTATAGAAAATATAACATAACATCTAATAATTTTAATATTTGCACTTCAAATAATAAGAAAATACCAAAAGAATATTTGATTTTAAATTAAAAAATAATAATATAAGGACCCCCAAAAAATTATTTGCCTAGAGCCCCCATATGGGCTTGAGCTGGCCCTGATGTCAAGTGTTCATCAGTTTGTACCCGTTTTATCAAATTTCAGCTCCACGTTTTGAAACAAGATGATCATAAAATGTGTTTCTTAGCTTGTAATTATCAAATTCTAATGCATCAGAAACTATCTTTTTTGAACAAAACGAGTACAAATTAGAGAACATTCCACGGAATCTAGAAGATTTTATTCAATTTGATACGATAAGCGCGAACATGCAAGAAGACTCATAATTGAGGGGTAATTGTAATTACCCAAACATAAGTGGATTTTTTCGTAACCTGACCTTACTTCAGGGAATGACCGTAATTTAACCTATAATCCATATCGGTCTAAAGATATTAACAATTCAACTATATATAAAAATCTCGTAGGTAAACTTACAGATAATATTTATTAATTTATAATCTATGCTGCACGGACACTTCTAGAAGGTGAAGAGTCCCCGTATCCGACATCTGGACACTCGGACACACCCGGATACTTCTCGGACACCCGTGTCGGGCCGTGTCGTAATTTCGCTAAGAGTAGGACACCCGTGTCGGGCAGTGTCCATAATTTTAAAAAAGTCGGGACACTTCTCTTACGTTTTAAGAGAGAACCCTAATAAAAAAATTGCGCATTTTATTTTCTCTGTGTTACACATTTCCTCCAAAAATCTAGCATGCGATGGTGACTAAGAACACGAGCAACAAGGGCGAGCGGTTCTCTTATGCGATGACGACTTATACATATTTTTTACAATTTATAAATGTACACCTATATTTTTATTATTTATAAATATACCCCTATATTTTTTATATTTACGCGTATCCCCCGCGTGTCCGTATCCTAGTTTTTTGGAAATGCCGTATCACCGTGTCCGTATCCGCGTATCGCCGTATCCACGTATCCGTATCCGTGCAGCATAGTTTATAATACATACATCAAATTAAGATAAACAATTTTTTTTATGGACTCCATTATATATAATATAATAATAAATGGAGAATTGGCGGGAAAGAAGCATGCCCACACGCTCGAAAACTAAGACAAAACTAATAACACTTGTTGACAAATAGCCGCATGTATCCACGTGCGCACATGGGATTGTCCTAACAAAGTTAAACGTTGTTGATACAACCCAATCATTAAGTCTGCTGCCCCTTATTTTAAACTAAACAATTTTCAGATATTACGTTTGAACTAAACATTTTTAGCTCCAAAGATTTGGCACATTGAACAAGCTACCCTTTTGGCCATTCTTGAAAATAATTTAATCAATTAGTCTATGATATAATTTGAAATCGGAGTCGTGTTTCGGGGTTTTTTGCTTATACTCCCGAGTCCATCCGGTTTTTGTTGGATCAACTCGATATTTCCATCCAAGTTCTCCGTTTATTACTGCAACAACTACATATTTTGCTTAATATACGAGCTACGTAGTTAATCATATTTTTAGACGACATGTTTTGCTCCGTTATGGTACTTTTGGTTTCCATATTCACATTTGTTGACTGAGGCTTCGTTTCCTATGTTTTTAGATGACGGTCATTTTAAAGTTTGTCGTCAATCTACTTAATTACTATCTTTTTTCCTGGCTAGGCCACTTCTGGACCGTTGTCACTTTAATTTGTATGACATTTATGGTTTTAGGGAATGTTAGTGCAAGGCTCCTAGCCTAAACCTCCGTCGCATTGGCGTGGGCTTAAAAAAAGAAGTGATACGACCAACGCATATATTTATCTATATTTAGTTTTGAAATTTAATTTGTATTAGAAAAATGTCCAAAAAATAATGACCTCGCCTATATGTCATGTACCTTATCATTTTGTGTGTGGAAATAGTTACAATTCTCACCAATAAATGGGGTAATTGACTAGCTAAAATGAATATTTTTTATAGAGAAATCCCATCACTACATAAAATAATTAAGTGATGATAGACGTTTTAGAATATTGATAAAATTCCATAGGTTCAATTTTCTTGATATATATATTTGAAAATAAATTCACAAACATCATGTATTTATGATCCACATGAAATAATTAATTTGGGAGTTAATAATTGCGAGCAAAATTAATGAGCACAACCACACGAATGCCTAACTAACCTAAGAGATTGAGACAGTAGAACGATAAAGGCGATAATAAATATGTGTGTAAGAGATGCATGAAAATATATAAATTGATAAATGTTGTGGCATGCAATGAATCTAATTAGAAGCAGCCATGCACGTGTGCCTCATTTAATTTTCAACCCTAATTAATCCACATTGACATACTACACGACCTTTCACTATCCACACATGGATTATTGACCTATCCATATCCATCCATCTATATTCACTTTCAACTCAACTCTACATATATGTATGTGTTCATACCTAATGCATTATGTGTGTGTGTATACACGACAGTAGAATCTCGATAAATTAATAACTTCGTTTAAATAATAGTCTCTTCCGGTCCCAACTCGGTAAAATCGTATTAAATTATTAGTTCGATTATTTACTATTTCGATAAATTAATCGAATTTTGTTACTCCCGACTATTAATTTAGAGAGGTTTAACTGTATAAACTACCATTAACCCTTTTCAATCTTTCATTTGATGAAAAATATATATGATTGGGTGGGTTGGATGATACAAGATAAGCATAAGGGTAAATTCATTAGACACTGGGGGTACTTGTATTTATGCAAGCATCAATGTTTTTTTTCGTTATTAGACCTTACCCCAGGGTGCGATTGTAATTTGACCTCAAAACAATGAGGCTTCACACTTAATTTTAAAAAAATAAAAAAAAAAATTCGAGAACTGCACTTATAATATCAATATTGTTATTATTTATTCATTTACTATAGGTACGTGACAAAATAAATAGATTTTTTTTTCGAGAACTGCACTTATAATATCAATAATATTGTTATTATTTATTCATTTACTATAGGTACGTTGACAAAATAAATAGATCTTTTTTTTTTCGAAAACTGCACTTATAATATCAATATTGTTATTATTTATTCATTTACTATAAGTGACAAAATAAATAGATTTTTAGCAATATTACGTGGATTCCAATGCGACAATTTCTGGTTTTTGGAACAAATCTATTCATTCCAACTTTCAAAATTCCGATTATTTCTGATTCATTTCCCTCTTTTCTTTGAGCAGAGATGGATTAACTCTTCGACTTTTGAAAAAATAAAAAAATACAGAGGTATTAACTCCGATCCGATTTGTTCCGTTTCCACCTCTAAACATATCCATTCGCCATGGGGACCAACTAAAAAGACGATAGTAGCTTACGTTGATTGTCATTCTGATAGGCCTAGGCCCAAAATTTTGGTCCATGAGTCAACCCAATAATTACGAGCTGAGGTCCAACACAGTTATATATGGACTAGATTCAATGTCCCATGTAGGCCCAATCTTATAAACTCAATAATGATTCACCGAGTTTATGCCAATCATAAGATGCTCGTTCTCGTTCAGTTACATACATTGGATTAATTTGAATTAGATAGGATTGGATTAATTTCCTACTGACTACTTAATAAGATGTTCGGTAGCTCATATTAAATCTTGAATAAAAATATGTTAAACTTTGACATTTTATGCGATTTGTCTTTAAGACTTCTTATTTAACAAAAAATAACACACAGATTTGAGGATAAAATAGATTTTTCTTTGTCTAGTGACCCCTACAAAATTAATCTTCGAATCAAAAAACCTAGAAAACGACAATTTATTATCTTGACAAAGTTGTTTTCGTTAAATATTTTGACAAAGTTGATATATCCATCCCACAAATTATTTTTGCCGGAGTCATACAGCCCGTGCGAGGGCTTCAACGTCAGAAACTAAAATTATTTACTACAAGAAAAAGCAATCACAATGTTACAAGATCAACATATCTATGTCCTAAGGTACAAAGCCACACAAAAAGAAAAAGAAAAAACAAAAAAAAAATAAAAAAAATAAATGAAGGAGTACAAATCTAAAGCTAATCAAGTTACACAATTTGACTAAGTGACGAAACATACCTAGGTTTGGTTGATTGTGGGCCCGCAGTGAGGTCACTCGACCGCAATTTTACGCTGCTTCTTCTGTGGTAAAGGTTTTCCTGCGTTAACATTCGCACCATGCTGTTAGAATTTTTATCTAACTTCTCCCATAAACACACACTATATCGCAAATACGCGCAGCAAAAATCTTGAACCCGAGACCTAGAATCGAAAGTCCGGTTTCCTTTGATTTAGGTTAAGCAGTTGATCTTAGACTGCGTGTACACTTCATACACAACACGAATGAACTACGCAAAATGTAGTATATATCTCGAATAAATACGAGATTCTGATTGTTTCCGAAATTTACACTTACAATATTCATATTATTATGCTTTTCGTATGTCAAGTGACTAAAAATTGGAAATTTTTGAAAATCCGCCGATTTATATTCGAAAGTTTCCGATTTCGGAACCAAGTCTTTTTTCATTCCAGTTCCCGGTATTCCGATTTCCGGCTGGAACGAACATTAATTCCTCGAAGAACCAGAGCAGAAACAGATTAATAGAAATTCGATCAGATTACAACTCCAACGTTAATTTCTTCGCATATCATCTCAAATATTTACCATCGAATTTCTATCCTATATTCAATTATCATAAATGAAATAGTCTACACAACATTCAGCTGATCAAGCAGTTCAAAATCACACGATGCACGTAAAAGGAACAGAGTATATATATATATATATTATATATATAACCTTGAAGAGACGAAGAGAGGCAGTTTTGATGAACTACGACATGCTTTATCGTTTCCCTTTGCAGGAGATTGCGTTTAACGACAACTGGCGTTTTAGGAGCACATATTTCATCGACCTCCGTCTCAGTTGATCTGTTGTTGTTAAGGATGTTTGCATCTTTTGATGTTGTTTCCTCGGTTCTTGATTCAATCTGATTAGATGTTTTACTCGTATTCGCCTTCCCTTCACCTAAATCCCCAATTATATATATGTTTGTCAAAATAATATCCATATTCCATACTAAGCCCAAGAACAAGAGAAGGAAAAATTGCAATCTTGGTCCTCCAGTATGTTGGCCTATTTAGGAATTTAGTCCGCTTACATTGTTCCATTTCAATTTTACATGCAACAACTTTGCAAATTTAGCAAAGTAGGATAAAAAAAATTATGAAAGTGTAAAGTTAAACTAAAAACTAAAATAGAACAATTTAGAGGACTAAATCACTAAGTAGACCAACGTTAAATTAGATGCTACACCTGGTTAGTAAATCTACATATAATCACACATACCCATGTGTATGTGTGCTTAGTGAGGAGTTATTTAATTAAATCTACGGTTCAAATTCATCCAGTGTAACCAGATGTAGCTATGGCATCTAATTCCCTATAGACCAACATAGAGGACCAAAATTGCAATTTTCCGAACAAGAAAACCTAAAGCTTGTATTTTCAAGATTCCTAGGAAATGCAATTCTTGAAAAAAAAAAATATACGAAACAACCCGATTGTACCCGATGGATGAATTTCGGAATCCGAAACCGATTCTTTAGCAATTGGGGCATACATGTAAGAATCGTAATTCAAATAGTCCTCAACTCCCTTGAACAATTCCTTTTTCTCCTTTTCCCTGATGGGTTCACCTGATCACAACAACAAAATTCAAAAGTTTAATTATAACAGAAACAGAAACCCTTTAGTTGTTTTATTCGTGAGAGAGAGAGAGAGAGAGAGAGAGAGAGAGAGAGAGAGAGAATTATTACCACAAGAGGAAAAGGTGGACGGGAGAGAGGATTGAGGATGATGATTGAGCAAGGGGGCAAACATATACGTGTCTGATTTCAAGTAATCGATGATTTTCTTGAATACAATTTTGAGTTTCTTCCCTTTGTTGGCGCCAGTTTTGATGGGCTGCTTGTTCTTCTTCGTCTTGTGAAGTGAAAAGGAGACAACTTTCTTCGCCATTTGAATTTTTTTTTTCTTGAAAAAATAACTTTTAACAGAAACCAAAACAAATTAACTCGCAGGAGAAGAGGGCACAAGGGTAATGCTGGAATCGGGAAGCGGTTATGGGTGTGTGTGTTTTTTCCAAAGCTGTGAAATGCCGACACGTGTGCTATTGGGGGATGACACGTGTCGGTTCAGTACGAGATGTCGGAATAGTAGTGATCGTCTTCATCTTTTACTAAATTTTGGAGTAATTCTAAGATAAGAAAGAAAGAAATCCAAATCACCGGAATAAATCTTGTCATTCCGGTTTGAAAGCGTGATTTTTGGTCGATTTTTACCTACATGGTTTGTCTAGCTTAAACGGGGTCTCGAAAAGTCTCAAACCGCCTCATATGCCAAATATCAATTTTCAAAATTTCGCATTAAAGTCGTAAAAGTTTGGGTTCGCCTCCATCTCGACGACCTATTAATCAGCGCCACCGCAATTTTTTGAACACTAAATATATGTATATATATATATATATATATATATATATATATATATATATATATATATATATATATATATATATATATATATATATATATATATAGAGAGATCGCGCGCGCGCGCGCGCGCGCGCTGAGACGCGCACGCACACACACACACACACACACACTCACACTCTCTATTTATATATTATCAGACAGAGAGAGAGAGAGAGAGAGA